GCAAGTTTTATACCAAATGAAAGCGCGTAAAAAATGGGATTTATCAGTATTAAATGGTAAGGGTTCTACAAAAGTTCTTATAACGAACATAACAAATCTTTAGAAACAGCGTGCATAAAAATGGTTTTCTATGGGAGTAATGGTGTGACTTTAAATAAGGTCAATGACACATTTTATATCAAATGAAAGGGCATCAAAAATGGGATTTATCAGTATTCAATAGTAAGGATTCTGTCAATCTTTTTATATCAAAAATAACAATTTTTCTAGAAATTTTTGCAGCACTACTTCGTAGAAAACCATCATTTTGAATCGAATTTAGTTTTTGAACTGTCTCATGAAAGAAATTTTTTCATACTAAAGTAGCGAAAATTTCTAGAAATTTGTTATGTTCGATATAAAAAGATTGGCAGAACCCTTACTATTGAATACTGATAAATCCCATTTTTGATGCCCTTTCATTTGATATAAAATATGTTATTGACCTTATTTAAAGTCACAGCAGTACTCCCATAGAAAACCATTTTTATGCACCCTGTTTCTAAAGATTTGTTATGTCCGTTATAAGAAGTTTTGTGAAACCCTTACCATTTAATACTGATAAATCCTATTTTTGACGCGCTTTCATTTGGTATAAAACTTGCTATCGACTCTATTTAAAAACACAGCATTACCCCCTGGAAAAACATTTTCACATACCTTGCAGAATAATAGCACAGATAAGGAGACGAATCCGGACAAAAATTATCGAATCTGATGCTAACTTTACTGACGTTAATACAACGTTGTATTCATGTTGGTCAGTACTTTCTATCTTCGATACACTAACAGACCATTAACTCATAGTGAATTGTACTCATATCTCTTTCATTTGCATGAAATTAATGAAATATCAAATGTTCGGATGACTTCTTAATAGACAAGAACTCATTCTATTATGATAGCCTTTAACGAGAACAGAGGAAATGACTGACAGACTGAATCTGTCATCCTACTACACTTACATGTGTCTGTTGGTTGTAAGTTCTTACAAGCGCTTGGATATTTTATAAGATAGTTTGTAGAAAAAAAGCTGGCAAAAGAAATGTACCAAATATAACATTACTTGTAAAACATAATATTAAAAACAATCTACGTTTCATCGAAAAAACATTTTCAACAATATACAATGCGTGGTTTCTTTACAGTTTATCTTTACATTAGTTTAAAAAAATAATATAACGATCCATCTTATGGTTTTTATGCTGTGTTTCCTCTTCGTTGTGTATTTTCAATTGATCCTCACATAACGAGACGAATTCTGTATAATATGTCGAAGTTCAAATGTAGTATATATTGTTCCCGAAGTAGCGCACATTCATATATTGAATCCTCTTATACTAATTTAGAATCTGGATGTCATAGTTACTTTAGCTATGTGATTTATCGATTCAAAAATTTTTTCGCTACATTTTTTATCATACTATACCTACGGCTTGGTTGCATTTGTTGACATTTTGCTCTTGAAGAACTATTAAATATATAAGTAAATTAGAAAAGAAAATGGCCTTTTAGAATAGGCGCAGTTAACATTGTACTCCTTAGGTAAAAACAATAATCCTGATATTAAAACTTTGGATTACCATATGTGTGGCATTAGTCGTTATGTTCTATTAAGTATTTAGTTTTGAATAAAATGTATTAGATAGTCATAATCAGAAGTTGCAAATGCTGGCCATCTATTGTGTGCCATTTGTTAGACCTGTTCATTCTAATTTCAAACACGAACAATAGCAAATAGCATAGCAATTATTTTACAATACATCTATAAAACCATTACTGTATACAAATTTTGTTTTTTTTTAATCTCATTTTTCTTTAGTAGTTTTCTAAACCATGCTACCAACACTCATGATAGGTCACTGCCCGCATATCGAAATTGTTTTGTCTATTCGTATTCGTTTCACGACTTAGAAATACTAAAAAATTCCAATGAGAAGTTGACAGAAAACCGATTCTGTCTGATCGAACTGATTTTCAATGCATATTATGTTTCTCTATTTTGAGAAAAAGGTTAGGACTTTAATAAGCATCTTCCGTCCCGAAACGGTTAAATCAATCTTAATATTCAACGAAACTAAATAATACAGCTCCATAATCATTCAAATTACAGATATATGTTATTAATACCTCACAAATCAATTATTATTATTGAATTTATTTTTCTTACTTCAATTAATTCATTGCTGATGCTATGTGAGACGAACTTTGTTTTTTATAAACTGCATAACAGGCAATATCCCTTCAAAAGACATTCAGAATTTATTTTCGTAGAAGATACATCCTCTCTTTTTGATCGAAAAATCAATTACTAGCTGATCATAATGGTAAAATACAGTAAAACAAAATATTTTAGAGATGATAAAATTTGTCTTGATCTGTCGTATATTAGAAAAACTGTTATAGAAGTTGATGTGAGTCACTTTCCATGTTCTTTTATTATTGTTAAAGTCCGAGATGCATACAAAGTATTTACGGAAGTTAGGAAATCAAGTAGAATATGCAGAATATTTTGTACGGATTGAATAATCACATGATGTTATAAAATAACAAAGAGATAGAAAAACTCAAAACTAGAAAACTGTGTGAACTCGAAAACACTATAGTATCTTCTTTTTCACAATTTTTCTTTTATTGTGTAGCTTTTGAAAATAAATTGATAAAACAATAGACAATATGTTGGCGAAGAGGACAGGCGGTGTTGGCTTAAACTGTATTGACGTTTCTCGCCTGTTTTTTCCTGTTGAAAGTTCTTGTATGTCTCCGGTTTTGGTTTTGTACATTTTAAACTGTAACCAGAGTTAGATAAAAAAAAGGATAAAAATCTCAAACTGAATCCGCTCAGTCCCTAACTTTCAGTGTGTGACAGAGAGCGAAAACGAACCGAACTCGAACTCGAAATAATTTTTTAAAAGATAGTAGAATGTAGTTCAACCTCAAATGAAAAATAATTGATTTATCATCAAATTGAAAAAAATATGATGCCGTCGGCGAAGATAAAACGAACTTTTATTGATTGTTTTACATGTTTAATTCAATTTGTGTTTATGATGATGAGTCATTTCTATGCAGTATAATTCTTTTATTCTTTTCTTTCGTAAATGTCGCCGTTGTTCTAAAGTGTGATGAGAAACCGTGGATAATGGTACGAGATTGATATCAACACTAAAAGACTGCTGTCTCTCATATATTAATATTAGAAATTTCTTTTAATCTAGAAAAGTATAAATTAGTGTTAGTGTTAATTCATGCAAATTTCAACTCTAATATGACATCTCTGATCGTCCGAGAAACAGATTTTGACCTATAGTCTACTATTGATAAGGTGGAACTACTGCTACTCTAATTGAACCGCATTCGAACTAGTTTTTCAAGGGTGAGCCGAACCGAACTCGATCCAGAAAAGTCCGGTTCAATTCACTCTCTGGTATGTGAGTCCATTCGGTCCGACACACTTTAGATTTTGGCTTGATGGGCGTCTTTCATTTACACGACACTTCTCTACCATGCTGATTTTTGAGTTGCCTTATTTTTGGTCCCGCTGAATCTCTTGAAACACCTCATTTATGGTCTGCACTACAGTGAAACGAGGTCCACGCTATCAAAATTCAGAATCAGTACATTCGAATACCTAGAAACGACAAAGTTTCAACAAAAAACTGTGTAAAGTAGAAAACTATTTCTTATCTAATTTTAAAGTTTTTACCCTAAAAAACTGTCGGAAACTTCTCAAAACAGTGGAAAAAGTGGTTTCCCATAGGTTTCACGATGTGTTCTTTCATATGGACGCTTGAAAAGCAATCTTGCTGCGAAAAAGACTATTTGACCTGAAACTCGGGTTTTCCAGAAACCGAGCCTGAAAAGGACTAAGGGTTCAAACCATTGTCATATTCGATTCAACACATTCGATTACCTATTGTTCACTAAGTTTCAGATGAAAAGCGATTTATCAGTTGAAGTCCTTTCCTTTAGTTTTGGAACATTCAGGGCGATAGATATACAACAGAAAGTATGGTGTCTGTAAGTTCATTTCGAATTTCTTGATCTTCGAAACAGTAATTGATCCTTGTTATGAATTTCTGACTAATGATTTTAAGAAAATGAACAAGAATATCCGTTTAAGAACATCTACCAAAATTACGAAAAAGATTATAAGTTGTATTCATGCTTGACGAGACTTGAATGGAATTGAATAACAAAGCCGAGTGTCATCGTCTAGTTGAACACATCAGCAATATTTTGTCATGGATTTTTAGAAGACAATGCAACTATTTTTAAAATGTCTCGTTTTTTTAAATTAGCTTTAAATTGAACTTGTTCTTTTTTATTAGATAATAAAAGCTTAACTAAATCAGAAGATAATAGTATTAACAATTGCAACTGAATGAAAAGTGGGTAAAAATAAAATAAAGAAAGAAAGAAAGAAACTTCATATTTATTTGGAAATGCAATAAATGATTCACATGACATACAAAAAGTAAATGAATACATATGATGTTTTAATTAAAACATAGCTAAAGAAATATTTCGAGGAGCAAAATTGCCAGGAGCCATTCAAAAACAAGATTTACGTCATTTTTTAAAATCAATTGATCCCATTAATTGAGTATTTTTAGCTAAAAATATCAGAAATGATACAAAACGAAATTTGAACAAATATTTATTAAAACCAGTCCAGTATTACATAAAAATGTTCGTTTTCAATTGGTTCTTTTTTTTTGCAGATACAAGAGTCAAGAAATCAGATGTATGATTTCTAATCTAAGCATCAATTTTTAAGTTAATAATTACTTCTATTGTTTGATTACTCGTTCACTAGATGTCGCCAATCATCAGACAACATTAATAATCAACATATCTGAATGGATTATTTTTGAAAATCCATGAAATATTAATCGAAAATTTCAATGAAATCTTCAATATAATAAAATAAATATCTATCTATTAAACTTTCAATTAATATGACTCTTCAATTTGATGGTTGTGCTTATTTTCGTCAACGTCTTGCTTTATCAACACTAAGTTACACACCAATTAAAATAAAAAATATTCGATCACAAGAAAATGCACCTGGACTACGTGGTAAGAAAATTCTTATTAATCATTTTATTACAAAAAAACAATTCTTCTTTTCAAATAGATTTTGAAATAAATCTACTGCATTTATTAGAAAAACTTACGAATGGTAGTAAAGTAGAAATTAATACTACTGGTAAATAATTAAAATATTTTTCGTTTAAATATGTTAATATTATTTTTCTCTCGTACAACAGGTACTTCACTTTATTATGTACCGGGGGCATTAACTGGTGGAATTGTTGAGCATGAATGTTCATTACAACGTGGTATTGGTTATTTTCTTGAGCTTGTTCTCTATATGGCACCATTTATGAAAACAGCTCTTGAACTTCGACTAAAAGGTGTAACTAATGATCGTGATGATCCTTCAGTAAATATTTTGTTTTATCTAATAATACTTATTATTATTATTATTTATTTATTAAGGTTGATCTTATTAAATATTCAGCAATACCAATTATGAAACGATTTCTTGGATCTGATGATGGTCTAGAACTTAAAGTAAATATAATCAACTTGAGAGAAATATATACTATTTCAATTTATTATATAGATAATTAAACGAGGTGCTAAACCAAATGGTGGTGGTGAAATTTTATTTCGTTGTCCAACAAAAATGAAATTAAGACCATGTCAATGGATTGATGCTGGAAAAATTAAACGAATTCGTGGTGTTGCGTAAGATTATTATATTTTAACATAAATTTTTGTTTTGTATGACAAAAATTTTAGATATGCTATGCGTGTATCACCAAATTTAGCAAATCGTTTAATTGAAACAGCTAAAGGTTTATTATTAAAATTTTTACCTGATGTTTATATTTATGTTGATCATCAAAAAGGACAAAATGCTGGTTTGTAAGTATTTTTAATTTAATTGAAATCAAAAAAATTAATATTCATATAATTAGATCACCAGGTTATGGTTTAACATTAGCTGCTGAAACAAAAAATGGTTCAGTAATTTCAGCAGAAAGTTGTTCGATGCCACGAGTTAATGAAGGTGATACAACAACAATAACAATACCAGAAGAATTAGCTAAAGAAGCTGTTTTTAAACTTCTCGATGAAATATATAAAGTAAAAAAAAAAAAGAAAGAAAAGGAATTTCGACTAGAATTAATTATAATATTTTAGGCTGGTGCAATTGATTCCTTTGGTCAAGCATTAACTTTTCATTATATGGCACTTAATCAAGCAGATGTTTCTAAAGTAATCACTGGTCCACTTAATTCTTATTCGTAAGTATTTAATCTTGGTTTTTTTTGTGTATAATAGCTGTTCGTTTTTTTTTCCTTGAATATTATTAAGAATGCAATATCTTCGATATTTAAAACAATTCTTTCAAATTATGTTCAAAATCGAAAATACAAAAGAAAAATCTAAAGATGAACTGAATGGATCTGATGAAGAAAAAATTGATGATGACGATGATGATGATGATGATGATGAATTAAAAACTGGTAGTCCAAAAATTCTTCTAACTGCTGTTGGTATTGGTTATCATAATTTAACAAAAACATTAATTTAAAATTGTTTTATTGTTAAAATTTTTGTTTTGTTATAATAAAAATGGTTATGTATCCGAAATGAATAGTAATGAAAAGACAACAAGAAAATCATGTTTTATATAATTTCGTCAATACAAAACATAGAATATTTGCAATTAACTTGGGTTGCAAAAGAAATGGAAAAAAACTTTTAAATTCTGTTAGACAATATTAAGTAAAGACTTTTTTTTGTTGGAAAAAATAATATTCGAGCTACAAATTTCGTACCAGACATAGTTTTCTAGAAAGAAATTTGAAGAGAAGGAAAAGTCTATCACTAAACATATGTAAAAAAAACTTTTGCCATGCTATTGCAATTTGGAAAGTCGATATTTTTCTATTATTTTGAATTACACACGGATCAAATTTTTTTAAGGAATATACAAAAATGTAGCTCATTAAAAAATCTATCATCTCAATTTAAAAAAAGAGTTTTGAAATTCATTCCAGGCTCTTTAATCAAAAAGTTTTCAAAAAAATGAAATTTTTTAGTCTTTTGCTAGAAGTATGAATTTCCAAGAATATCAGCCACTATTCATTTTGTATTATTCATTCGAAATATGTTTGATCATAGAAACACACGAGAAAACCTCCTCAGATGTTCCATTCCGATTTCAATGATTTTTTTGCCTATGGACACTAAATAATGTTCTAATAAAAATTGGACTCGTATTTTCGAGAACCTGGGACTTCTATAGAACATAGACTTATTAAAAATTCAATAATCTAGTCAAAACTCAATAAGAACTCAAATCCTTTTTTTGAATTTTTATTAAAACACTATGTGTTATTTATAGATAAAAAAAAAATCATTGAAATTGGAAGGGAACATCTGAAGAAAGTTCTTCGTGAACAGAAAAAATAATCCAAAAAAAATATTTTTTTGCCGTTGCAAAAAGGTTAAGTAGTTTGAAAGGCAAAATTATTCCGTCCCTTTTGCAAAAAGCAATATTTTGATATAAAAACCACAAGCAAATTTAATTTCCAACGCACCATTGGAAAAGTCACTTTTTATGCTAACAAAGTCATCATGAAACGTATTTTTCTCATACACTTCTGATATTAAAAAAAATAATAGATGTGGATCGATGAGGAAGTTACAAAAGTTTTTCTTAGAGCTGCTTGATTCTCAGTATTTTTCTCCTTCCAAATTCGTTCTGAGAAAATATGTTTGTTACAAAGTGTGTAGATCAGACATTGTTCTTTCCCAACAAAAAATATATTTGATTAATTTAAAAGTTGCTAATATGATCTTATAGAGTTTGACACTTTTTTTCCGTGTCTTTTTCACTGCATATTATTTGTTGTTGTTTTTTATTTTAGTACTGCATATATTAACAAAAATGTACTAGTTATATTAATCTCAATCGAAAGTTTTGATCTATAAATTAATTTTCATTGTATGAATTTGAAATTAGGAAATGTTAATCTTAAAATAGATATCATTGAATTGATACTATTTTTAAAATGTTCATCAACTTCTTTGTGTATAATAGCAGATTATAACAGATTGCATTATCTTTTCTTCAATTTCTATCATATTCAAATGAGATATCTGCATTAATTTTATTAAATAAGGTGTTATAAAATATTACTAACTAAATTAATATAATAAGATTATTTAAAACAAAAGCGAATCAACACATGTCAATTAATAATTTATCTTCAAATATTGAAGAATTTTCATTTTGTTATTAAAGAAATACGTCACAATATATTCCCTTGATATTTTATAGTTCATTGTATAGTTGACAGACAATAATTGTAATAGTTTTATTTTATTTTATCAAGTTGATTGACATCTAACATGAAATGTTCACAGAATATCATTCAGTCACGTTAAGTTTTTCCTCAAAAAAATCGTCAATTAGTAGATTAAGATTTAATAAGTTTTCATTTACTAGAATGATATAGACTATTCAATTTTCATAGATGAGAATAGCATTATATATCAAACTATTATATACTTAGTTGAAATTTCTTTTCTTTATAAAGTAGAACTCATCGAAGAATATAAGATGTATTAATTAAAGTTTTATTTTGACTGATATCGAATGATAGAAATATTATTTTTCGAGAAAACACAATGACTCTACCAATAGAGAAGAAAAGTTAGGTTGATGTATTTCGTCCTTGGGCTATAAGGAAATCCGAAAACCTTACTCTATATATGATTCCGGATAGTTGTTTTTATATTGCTAGCGTCAATATATCAAAATATTTTGATTTAGAAGATAGGCAAAAACTAGTTGCCATCATCTTCAAGGAGTTTTTTCAAGTTTTTGCAGTCAAAAAGAAACGAAAAATTGGTTGATATCAACTCTAATAAGCTCGGAAAAATGTTTTTACTTATGGTGACCATATCCCATCCCCCCCCCCCTCCTCGCATCTTGTCCACACATATGTACTTTAATAGATCACAAAAAAGGACAGGACTATACATTATGGATTCAAATTAGTAGAAAACTATCCGAAAATGAATTTCACATAGTTGTGTATTTAGCTTTACAAAATCTGATCAATATTGACAGAACAAAAGCTCGAGAATGATTATGTTTCAAGTCTATCTTTGACAGATGTATGATTGACATTGTTGAGTCTCTTAATTAACCTTTTGGGAACATTTATTATCTGTCTTTTTTTTTCAAGGAAATTCTCGATCCTAAACATACTATATACCATGAGATTTCTTATTGTAAATCATGATTGGAATGAAAAGGAGTTAATAATGAAATATAGTTATCTAGATAATGGTATCTAGCAAAATAATTGTGGATGATACTATAGTGAAGTTAGTTCTAAAGCTTTTTCATCTAACGAAATTTATAGAGCGAATCAAGATAACGTTTTTGACAAAAGTTTCCAAATTATCTAAAACTTGTTTAGCATGGATAATAAAGCTGAATTGAATACAAAATTGTTTGAAAAAAGAAGATAGATATAAAATATGTTTAGTTATTTTATAGAAGAAAGAAAATGGTATTTAGTCGTGTGAATACATATTAAAAAAAACCTATGAAGTGAATGAAGGATAAACAGTTAAATCAAACAAAGCAAAAGCTGGAATAAAAATGCAAATATATACATTTGCTATACCAGAAAAATCTCGGAGGAATGTCTAAATATGATCTTGTTCGATCGAGCTCTTTATAATCTGTTATGTCTACAAATAATATAAAAACACAATCGTTAATAAAATGTATTAAATAAGAGCATTGCTAAAAATAGATCAATATTATATGCCTTTATTCAAAGAAAAAAAAAGAAAAAGAGAGATTTTCTTTTCTTTTTAGACACCCGTTGAAGTAAAGAAACCAACTGTCTGTGCACGTCTCCGTGTTATATAATTATTTGAAATGCCTAATAATTGCTTTAATGTTAAACGAAATTGTGGTGATGCGACACCATAAAGAACAAAATTTAATGCATGATTTGAATATGACAATAATAATGTTATAGAATTAAATAAACGATAATGATGTTCTTGATTGAGATCTTGAAATAACTGTCCAATAACAATTGGTGCAAGTAATATAATAAAAACAAGATTTAATATAAATAACATATAAGAAATTTGTTTTGCACGACGTGTTCCTTTACTTGTTTTGCCTTTAATTCTTTTATTCATTGTTGTATTACTTAATGAAAAAAATAGACGATAAGCAATAATTCCAGCACATATAGTCATTATAACAAATGGAATAAGTACATAAGAAAAAAGATCAATTATACTATAAGGTTTTTCAAAAAATTGAAAATAAATTTCTGATGTATTATGTGTACAAATAATTATATCTTTATATAATGATATATTATTAATAGATGAAATAATTATTTGTTGTTTTGAACCCATAAATAATAAAATATGACTATTTATTAATGAAATAGTTATACACATAGCTAAAAATATACGATCGGCTGATTTAGGACGAGAAAAACGTTTATCTAATTGAACAATTGTACATGCAATAGCACGATCAATTGAAACAATTGTTAATATCCATGATGATAAATGTGTTGTAACATAAGTTAAAAATGTATGAAATTTACAAAGAAATAAATTTTGTTCTCTTATATCAAATAGAAAATAATCACGTAATATGATATTTCCTAAACCTAAATAAAGTACAATTAAATCAACAATTGATAAATAAGCTAAATATCGAAATGTTGAATGTCTACGTAATTGTTTTTGTGTAAATACAATAAATGATATTGAATTACCAATACTACCAATAAACAAACAAATTAAAGCAAATGGTCGTGTTATACGAGGATCATAAATATCACTTATTGAAAAGGCTGTTTGTGTTAATAATGTAGTTAAATTTGTACTTATTGTTGTTAAAATTGAATGAATAAGATTTTCTTGTAGATATGATGAAGATGTTGAATTAAACGACATTGATGATGATAATAATAAATAAAATAATATCAAAACAAAAATGTTCTAATTAATACTTTATTTTATTAGAGAAAATAGCGTTGTTGATAATAGATATTTATTTTTGTTCTATGAAGTAAAGAGAAAAATACTATATGAAGATATATATATTACATGAAAAATAATTAATTAGTGTCAGTTTTTTGACTTCTGATATATTTATATATGCGTAAAAAATACTACATGGATAAGAAGAAAAAGAAAAAAAATGCTTTTTTTTTTTTTTCTATACAATAGATGATTTCTGTCGTTAAGGTTCTTTATTCTTCTTCTTCTTCTATCTTTTCTTTGTATTCATTGTCGAAATAAATAAATCTACTTATTAACATCAACTTACCTATATATAAAATTAAAAAACAAAAAATAATTGTAAATCTAACATATAGAAAAGATCATCACTTGAACAATAGATATATAATAAATAAAATTTAAATAAATTATGATTTATTCTTAAGTAGTTTCTACTTCTATTATGATAGATCTAAATAAAATAACATCAGTTGATGGAGTGATGACTGATTGAAGTATATCATACTTAACAACAGTAATACTGACAAATTTCCTACAAGAAACAGCGAACAATGTTACCAATAAGTCATAATAAAAAAAAAAGTTTTGCTTTCTCTATGCTTCGTAACAAATTCTATACGTCTTTATTTACATATATAAATATATATATATATATACAAGTGTGTTTTTAATGTTTACAGGAAAACCTATTATGTAGTCATTTTGTTTTTTTGATTTTTTAATAGACAATAATTTGTAGAAGAGTACTTGGTATTCTGTCTTTTTACATGATTAGTCTATCATAAAAACAGACACGTCTGCATAATCCGAATTTTTTTTTCTACTCTTTATTATGTAAATAAAACAAAACAAAAAAAAAGGAATGTTTCAAAATCATTAAAAATGTCATATCACGTATTTGTTGATCAGGTTTTTACGCATTTGAGTTGGCGTCAGCCGGCTTTATAATTTTGATGGTTTACTCGTAGATTTTATTTACGAGATTCCTATGAAGAGAAAAATGACAATATATAATAGAAGAATATTATTCAAAACAAGTTCTCTTCTATATATTTCCGTTTTGATTCATAAAACATGTTAAATAACAATAATAATTTGATTAACAGACACATCCGCTAAAAAAGAACATGTACAATACGATTAATCGATTAGAAAACACTCTTGTCTTGTTGATGACACAAGTAGTTTTTTGATTAATTTATAGATATCACTAGTTGATGTTTATACAGTTGAATGAAATAAATTAAAAAAAGTGTTTTTTTTTTATTGGTTACTAACGTAAGCAATTTATAGTGGTAGGATGTCGTTTTCATAGTGATGATGATGATGAAGAATTAATTTTGAATTCATATGTAAACAATGTTACTTGAGGGAAATCATATTAATATTCTTTTATCATTTGTACGTTCGATTTCAAAATCCAATGATCCTGATCAATTATTATCACATAATAAAGTATATAAAATAAATAAATAAAAAAAAAATAGTGGTTTTTTTTTTTTGTTTTTGTTTCTTCAATTGAATATTATATTTTTTCTATTATATATAGCGTTCTTCACTATTACTTAATTTATTATTAAAACAAATTCATGATCGTACTGAATCTGATAAACTTTTAATTGATCAACGTTTAGAAAATATTATTATTGCTTTAGCTTATTTAGCTGTTGAACTTAATCATGGATGTCAAGTATAAATATTTCTATACCTATATTTTTGTTTTTTTTTTTTTGTAAATCTTATTTTCATTTCATTTTTTAATCAAAGATTCGTAAAGATATTGTCAAAGTTTTACTTGATTTTTATCAGAAAATACCAAAAGCAAGATATTATGAAATTGCTTCACATAATTATAAATATGGTAGAAAAGAATGAATCTAATAAAATTTAAGAAGATTAAATTTTGTTTCTCTTTTCATAGCATTACCTCCAGCAGAAGTATTTAGTTTTTGTTTACATACAGCTTTAACAGAACTTGCATCAACATCAGAAGATGTCAAGACAAGAGATAATGTAAGATAAATGAAATTCATTTTATAAAAATAAATTATTCTTTTGTTAGATTATGCTTATTATTGCGGATATTATTCGAAAGTTGGTTGAAAGATTACGTAAAGATGCTTATAATCATGCAAAAGGTAATTTGATTTTAATGAATAGAAAGAAGTTTTTTTTTGTTATTTGGATTCTAGAGAGATATCAATCGATCTATCGATATGAAGCACCATTTTTATTTGGAGCATTACGATCAATTGGAAGGTAAACAGTTTTGTATTTTTTATGGTTTAAAATAATTGAGTTCGTTCTCACAGGCCATTATTGAAAAACAAAGAGAAAGGAATATTGTCTGCTAACTATCGAACAATTTATTTCTTTATTATGTTTGCATTGTTCTTATTAGAAATCACTGATATTTTTCGTAATCTAATTAGAGTCTGTCGAGTTCAAAAGTTTTGAACTCACAAGAGAATGTTTTCAATTGATCAGTCCCTTTGGGTTTGAGACTTCATGCATAAGGTAGATTTCAGTAAGATATTAAAAATCTCAAAAGGTTAAGTCCCTTGAGACTTCTATTTAGAGTTATAGACATTTTATTGAAACGTAAGCCTCTGGTATAGTATATACTAATAAATTGAATGATGGTATTTTGAACTGAGATTTTACCTACCGACAGATCTATTTATCAATAGAATGCTCTGAAAATTTCAATTCAAAAGAATATTTCGTGAAATATGAGTGATTTTGAGGAGTTTAATGTCTTGAGAATGAAATATTATTTTAAGTTGAAATTTTCAGAGTATTCTACGAACAGATAGACCTGTCTGTGGACAAAATTTCAGATCAAAAACACTATCCTTCGGTTTATTGGTATGTACTATACCAAAGACTAAAATTCCAGCAAAACGTTTATAACTCTGGATAGAAGGACTTATTGTTTTGAAATTTTTTATATTTCACTGGAGTCTACCCGATGTACAGAGTTCAAATTCAAAAGCAATTGATCAGTTGAAAACGTTGCATTGTCAGATCTAGAATCGTGCTTCTAATTTCAATAGAATCTTGTAGTCTAAATCTGGTAGTCATCCTGAAGGTGCGAAATACGTTTTGTGAATATTTTGTAGATAATCTTAATGATGATTTTATAATAATCAAGTTATTATTAGCTTTTATTTTTCGAATATAACCTCTTGAGTCAGTCTCAGACTCGATCAGATTCGTCCTATGAACTCTAGACTTGACACATCTTATCTTTTATTCAATTTAATATTCATTCATTAATTCAGCAGTTTGACTTGAGTGAAGATGTTTAAAGTCTATTATTCCTTCGTATCAATTAATAATTGTATTCTTTGTATTAAATTTAAAAGTAAATTTATTATTTCAAATTTGTTCATTGCTAGTTTGAAATTCAAGTATATTCAGATGAGATAGAGAGTTTGTTTTTTTTCACAAATAGTAGCCTTTTCGTCTTTTGATAAGATTTACATTTAAAAATTCAACAAAAGAAAAATTATTTAGAATATCTGTAACTGATCAAAGTCTAATGTCTCAATTATTTTCAATAAGTTTTAATTCATCAACACAATCGATTTATATTAAACAAAAAGAATCAATGAATAGTTCATTAACTAATATTAAAAATAGTACAATTACATTTCGTCCAATTATTTCGAAAGTTTTATCAAAAAATGTTCTTTCATCAACTAATGAAAATATACCACAATTATTATATTTAAATGCTAATAATGCAACACATAATGGTGATCAACATGATTATTCATCAACATTTCGATCTCTTTCGTAAGTATTTTGTTTTGTTTGTTTGTTTGTTTTTTTTAAGATTTAAAATTTCTATCATAGACATTTTTCATATCGACTAAAGTATGTATGATGATTGTCATTAAAATAAAAAACAAAAGTTAGATTAGCTTATTTTTTCTTTTGATAATTGATTATATTCAAAAAGAAAAAAAAAGACAACATGATTCTGTTTATTACTAATTGTTTTATAAAATTTACAAGATGCATCATCTTTTGACATTATAATAATATATGTTAAAGATTGTGATTTAAGTTATTAGTAAAATAGATAGAATTGTGAGTATTGATTTACAAAATAATCATTTTATGATTTAGCAGTCAAAAAATATGAATTCGATTAGTAAAAGATTCAGATTTAGTCAATAATAAATAGAGATTTTATTAGCATAGGGGTGTTTTTTTTTACTTGTGTAAAATATAGTGTGGATGTATTATTTGTCGATTTGAATGAATTGTCATTTCATTTATACCTACACATTCTGATGATCATCATGGTTCAGTTTCAGTTTTATAAACAATAACTTGTTTTACTGTCTACATGATATAACAGATACATGCTAAGCTATAATAAATTGTTCTCTCAATTTTCTATATAGTTCATATATTATTTTGACAATTGATTGCATATTGATGTTTCTGTTTCGTCAACATTATCAAATTTAGCGTCGTTAATCCAATATTTTGATTTCTTTGTTTGTGGCAAGGTCTTTAGCTCAAGTCAAAGGAAATGATGAAAGTAGAGTATGCTTACGTGTATATCATATATAGCATTTATGCTACATGGTACAAGGAAATAAAGAAAAAAATGTAAATCACACTATAACACATTTCAATTTCTATAGCTATTCTTTGATTTAATTGCCTGTTAGCAAAAATTCTATTTACTGATGTTATACTCGATCATCCTTGTAGTTAATCAGTGAGTGTGGGAAACTCAAGTGATTGAACGAAAGAACTCTGGGTCACGTCGACCTTCTGTCTAGAACTGCAGCTAGTAATAATTGTAGGGAAAATATCGGACTTTCGAAACTGTCTCTGAACAGTAACTCTATACCACAACGTAGCCGAAAGGTGAAGTTTTTGAAGTCTGTTAAAACTGATAGATTTAAATCGTTTTTTGATGTACTGCGGTTAGATTGATGCGTCTGAGTCATCTATACTAACCACGGAGTCTAAATCGACCTCAGTTATGAGATAAAGTTTTATTAGCAAAATATATTCTAAAAATTTTTTCTTCTCAATTAATTTGAATTCTTTCTAATAAATAATTCGAATTTTGGGGTAAAAAATACTCTCTACAATCGTTTACAGCTGAAAGTGGAAGTCGTAAGTGCTATTACCAGTTCTTATGAGTACTGTGGTATATCGGTGGTACTGCGAATAAATATTTCTTTGTTATCTAACAATGAGTGGCGAGTTTCAATATATAGTGATTAGTACTAACTAAATAACTGATTGATTTTGGCTAAATTCAATCAAACATGTCTATGGCTATGATTCTAAATTAGAATTTTTGTTTTCTAGGTCGATAGAATGTAATGATTCATATGCATGGAAAGATGATCTTCCAATGAATTCTTTGTTTTTTTGTGTCTCTGGTTCGACTTATCGTCATTATCAAATGTCTTCATCATCATCAAATGTAATCTCAGGACGTTTTCATGTTTGTGTTACTGTTCCTGTACTAGAACATATACATGAGGTAATTTTAATTTCTTTTTTTTTTTTTACATATATTTAATAAAAAAGTACAATTTTAGACATTTAAATTAATCGATAATCGTGTTGTTAAATTTTTGGATAAAGCAGCCTTTGTTGAATATGATTCGATTCATCGACAAAATCTCTCTAATTCCCATGTAAGTTTTCTATTAAAACATTAAAGATAAAACAAAAAAAAAAATTTTATTTAGTCAAAACGTAATTTTCCTTATGCATATTTTGGTGATGTTCTTATCTTATGTATTATTAAATTTTTTCGTGATAATCTTGAGTTACTTGGTAAATCTACTGGTATGTTTGATTTTATTGATTCAATAGAATGGAAAAAAAAACACTATAAAGATTTTTATTTAGAAAGACAAAGAAAACATGATTTGAGTAGGTTTATAGTTTAAGCATGAATAATTACTAAACTTAACATTGATGCACTTAGAATAAAACAAAAAAAAAAAAGAAAAACAATTTTAATAATTATTTTTGATTTTTATTCTAGAACGATTTGTCTCAATTACAAGAGCTACTTATTTATTTGTTCAACAATTAATAACAATTAAATTATTGGATTTAGATAATGATGAATATGGAAAAGATCCACATCGTTATCGGACACGTGTAGATGCTAATGCAGCAGCATTAGAATTACTCTGTTTATCATGTGATGATGAAAGTGGTATGTTTCAATAGATTTATATAGGAATGTGCAGTGATGGTGGCAATACTGACAGTGAATGACTGACACAGATTACACTGAAACACTGACATTCATGTTCGCTGCAATATTGAGACATCAGTTCTATCAAAATATGCCTTTTTTCTTTGGTAGCGGTGTGTTTCAGTGAATACTGGTAGTCAGCGTGTACTAACTACACTGAATCAGTAAACTAAAACTGCACATTCTTAGATTTATATTTATTTTAAATAAGATTCTTATTTTTTTTTTGTTTTTAATACTAAAACTACAGGGTATATCAAAAATTAAAGACTTCCCTTCCCTCCCTGTGTTACATACAAAAAAAAATTAATATTGTATCTTCAAAAGAGATCTAATTGTTTAATTCATATGTTCGTTAGATACATGAATCTATGTAGCACATAGATATATCTATGTGCTACATAGATTCGTGTATTTAACGAACATATGAATTGAATAATTAATTCTCATTTGAAGATGCAATAATAATTTTTTTGTATATAACAACGGGAGAGGGGAGGGGATCTATAATTTTGATATACCCTGTATTTTCTACTGATGACTACTCTTAGATCTGCAGAGCGAAAATGAAGGATTTTTGAGTATGTATATTGTTACACGGCTACTTCTTCACTATTTTTTTGTTCTATCACTGCTGTGAATATTATATTTTTAATCACATGATATAGTTATTACAATTCAAACGGAATAAAATAAAAGATCGTTTTCATAAATAATTGAGTGATAAATCACGATAGTGCCACATATTTTATTCTTTCACGTGTTCAGTACTATAAACTTATCAGAATGATGTTTGTGTGCATTACTACGATTATATTATTTTACTTGATACTGTAATGCATGTTCATAAAATATATTAATAATATCAAATTGAATCCATTTTTCCTGAATGACTCTTCGAAATATTTCTCTTACATAGTGCATGAATTATAGATGAATGTGCCAATTTCCATATCCATCTTTTTGAGTAATCGATATTTTCTATGAAATATTTTCAGAATTTCTTGATCGATTCGAGTGGTTAATACAAATGATTAAAACAAGATTGAAATACGTTTTGATTCTTGGAATTCAAATACTAATAAATTCTGAATTCTTAGAAATACAACATCTGAATATGTCAAAAAAATCTTAAAGTATATAAGACAATTTTCAAAAATTAAGATACTTGAAATTATATGACGCTTCTAAAGATAATCGTTCTCATTACTTGAATTGTTGAATGTCATTATCTATCAAAAAAGTGTTTTTTTTTTTTTGAAAAACGGAAAACACACTCCGAATCTGCGTTGGTAGCTTGGATTTGCTCACTTAATATATTAGAATATTTTATATGAAAACTGGCTTGAACAAGCAAACAAATTTCTTTAAGACACAATTAGTAACATTCCTAGATAATACTTGATTTGAGTATCTCTCTCTCCTTCCATAGAAAAAACTTGTTAATGCAATCCCTTTAGGGCTAAAATGTTGAACTCATATATTCCATATAAATTTCAATCAATACTGTTCGCTGTGTAAAAATCTTATTTTTGCCTGCGTACTACTTTCAATCCCAGTTGCTAGGATATGTAATGGGGAAGGGGGTGGAGAATCGTCAAACATCGACTTAAAACTTACACTGAGTATTTTCTTTGAAAATGTATGTGAATTACGCAAAATCAATTTTTTGAATACAATCAAAATTATGTTTTTGTCATAGGAGGATGCGCTGAAAATTCCTCTTTTTGAATATAAATATATTGTTTTCTACAAAGTAATCAGATTTAAGACGGCTTGAGTTTCACTAAATTGTTTTATCGAGAAATGATCCAAGTTTTTGAAAAATTTTAATTTCATTGATATCAACATAGAAGAAAAATCTCTTTTATATTAACTATGAAGTAAATATTAGCAACTTGGATATGGATTACATGTTTATATCTTATCTTCAATAATCGATATATAATTCATAAAAATTGTGCGCAAATGTAAAATTCATTTGAGAGATTTCACTTTTCATTACTTTCACTAAAAAGAAGTTTTGAAAGAGCAGAAAAGAAACCCGTCTATATATTAAAGATGGCGCTAACTGATTTCATGTATTACATGCTCCGCTCATCTATAGTACCCACTCTCATGTTCGACCACTTCTGGTTCTCGAAGAGAATACAATTTATTTACCTGAAATTTTCACTAGAGATAGTCCGAACTATTGTCCAGTACTAAAATCGGTTATTTTTGGCCTTCCAACCCCTATGTATAGTCTTAAACACTAGCACTACGATTGTGAAGCCGGATCTTCATGTAGTTCTATCACAAAAAGAAAAAAGGAAAGCAAGGTTTTTGAAAAAGCTGGAAGTTATCTCTGAGATATACTTTAAGATATCTCAAAAAATAAATTTTCAGTTCGATTGGATCAAGTCAGAGGGGCGTTGTAAGCAGGCTTGATGCAGCCCGATGGATAATCAAACTTTGCCTGAAAAATTGCGAGAATCTTATTTAAAATTGTTGTCCTCGAACATATGCCTTCTTATTTTAGATGCTCTATATGTGGTAAAATTTTCTGGGGAATTGATTGTATCCTGTTCGAGTACTACAAATGCCCAAAGATGTTTTCCCAGAATTTTAATGAAAATACCGATTTCTAAAATTTTTTTATCGCTTTCAGACATAACTAATATTCTTTTTTTGTGAACCTCCGAGTGAAAGTTAAATTTTTGCTCGATCCTAGATTTCTTTTTATATTTTATTCTTAGACTGAGAGAAGTGCTTAGTCGACAACAGAAATGTCCATGGCGATACGGTAGATGTTTAAAAAAAAACAACATCGCAGCAGCGGGGTGGTGGCGACAGATTCTTTTTAGAAGACATTGAAAAACTTCATGGATTTGCACAGGATTCAGATATTCATAAATGTAACACTCAGAGATTAGATGAATCTCATAGATTCATACCAACAGTTCTAGTTTAGTACAGTGATGGCAGGAATTTTCGCAAGATTTTTTGACAACCATCGCGGCAGCGGCAATTTTCTATATAGTTCATCGTGTCGCGAGAGTCTTCACTCTCCTAGGACCACGACGAATTCTCGACCGCAATGGACATCTATGGTCGACATTATGCAGATCAGCTTTTTTTAAATCATAACCCTATTAAAATGGTCCTAGAAAATAGTAGGAAACAAATTTTGAAATCCTGTTCGCATATTTTTCCGAGTTCTTAAGCTCTCATCATGATAGAGTGTTAGGGATTCTTCTGAATGCTTTAAATAAATGATCAGTAAGCTGACACTCTGACCTAGTTTGATGTATTGGTTTGAAATTTATATTAAAAGGATTTTTCACTAGAGCAACTGCTGAAAATATCAGTCGAAATAGATCTGTTGAAGTACAGAATCAATTCTTAAGAGAACTTCAGATTGGAATCGATTGATTATTCAACTATTAAATAATACCAATTGATTTATTTTTCAAAATTTCTTAATTTATGAATCTGTTCATTTCTCTATAAAGATCAATATGATCATTTCACAAAAATTCTTATCAAGAAAATCTGCTTTTAATGTTTGATGTGTCAATTCTTATCAATTAATCAAAATTGTTATTTTGTTTCTTCTTTTATATTTTAATTGATTGAAAATCTTTATCAATATTCTTTTCATTTTATTTTTCAGAAGCTGAAAAATTATGTACAAAATGTGCAGAAAAATTCAGTCAAGAAACAATAAGTATCAAATTATTAGCTGCTCAAATGCCATTATTAATCACATCATTAGAAGTAAATGAAAAAAAAAGAAATTGAAATTCTTTCATTTTTTTAAATAAAAAATAAATTTCATTTAAGATTTTAAGTCGATTAGCAGACAAATATAAATCATTAGCAACATATGCTATTCGAGTGTTATGTGATTTTTTAACTGAACCTTCACCATTACTTTATAAATTATATCGACATACAAGTCAAAAACTTGATGAAGAAGAACAAAATACATTTGTAAATGAACATCCTAAAAGTTCAAAAGAATATCGAGCATTTCAAATATTTGAAAAATTACGAGATTCAGCAATTGAAGGAATATGCAAGTTAGTTGGTTTTTTTTTTATATAAAAAACTTGTAACTATTATTAATATAGATCATTATTTATTCGTTTGGATTCGGATCCAAAATGTGTTGAAGCTTTACTTACACAACTTTCTGCAAGACTTGCTTCAGGACATATAAATGATAAGTAAGTAAAAATGAAAAGATTAATAATTTTCTTTTTTTGTGGATAATAGTATAAACAAAAATATATGATATTTTTTATTTAATTTACTTGATTAATAATATAATCAAAATATTTATAGTTCGCATTGGATGTTTAATATTGTACTGCTTGATGCAGCACCACTTAAACGTCGTACATCAATGCGACAAGATATTGATAGAGAAAAATATGGAAATTTATTGTAAGTGAGTAAACTAGTAAAATTCTTCTATTTACTAGTTTCCTCAGCTTTTTCTATATGTAAAGCTTAATGTCGATTATTATTTATGCACATTCACATTTATTTTTGCATCTATGATGATTCTATTGCTTTTAAAGGCTGTATAAGATGCTTTAAGTAAAAGAATTTTTGATCTATTGTATGTTTGTAACATTCAAATTGTTCAATTGTGAATAGAATTGATTGTATAGGTTCTCTATAATCAAAGCTATTGCTATACAATTAATGAAGAATTATAAACGATCGTTTCTAGAACTTACCATAGAGATGTTCGTGTTGTTAATTAATAAGCTCACGTATGCAGGATAAGATATTTTTTCGTAGGGTGTATCCTGCCTGAGAAAAACTTTTTTACTCTTACCATACGCTACTCTTCAAAATCTTTATACTTATCTATCCTAATTCTACTCTACTCTGGCAGTATAGCGCTATGTTCCTTATACTGCTATATCACTTCTATCTCTTGTATCTTCGATGTATTTTTTGTAGATATTTCTTTTGTTCAGAATTTGTCGAAAAACCGAATTTCCTTGGAAGACTCTAAAAGTAATAAATAGTAAACTAGTCTCACGGTAGAGATTTACAGGGTAAGCTTTTTCCGTATCTTGTGACCTGACTAGGAAAAATTTCCGTACTCGTATCCTACACATCTCGATTAATTAGATTAGACATATTCGGGTCAATTTAAACCTTTCACAGTCAAATTAACAAATTCAAAAAATATAGATTGCTCTTAGCATGCATGGACCGAGATACTCGAATTTTAAAATACGCACATAGAATATGTAAGGTGCTCGCAATTCAAAATTTCACTAGAGTATTTTTTCCAATGGTTGAATAAGAAAAATTATGTTTCATATTTAAAAAAAGTGTTACAAAAGTCGGAATTTTGAGTTTCTTATATCCTTTAAAATTCTAATATGTCGATTCGTGCACGCCAAGGGTAACCTATATTTTAAATTTGCTAGCTTTTTTGAGTAACATTAGATTCATCAAACTATCATAGTAACAATTTATATCAATACGATAGTTATTAAGTAGAATATTCACTGCTCTGCTATCACGATTCTAGTAGTTCGCAATAGTAAATTGTGTCTGGAAGAGTGAAACTTAAAATGTTCAATGTTTATAGATCAAAATACGATCGTATACTCAATGAATTTTATCATATAGACGATTAATATGATTTACTAATAATGAAAGTGACGAAAATTTGCTCTATAATAATTGCATTTATCACTTTTTTGCAAAGCACAAAATATTTCACTTTAAATTTATCTTCATATTGAACAGCTAGAAAATCTTTACAAATACAAAAAAAAAAAAAACATTCTAATTTATATTTCATTTAGACAAGCATCATTAGTTTCTCATAATACTATTCTTACATTGGGTCATATGTCAATTGCTTTAAAAGATGTTCAACATACTCAACAATCAATTTTAGCTCGTTTTCAACAACGTCTTGGTGATCCACCATCACCACTTGATATTCTAATTATTAATCAAATTGGTTGTATGCTTATTTCTAGTCTTGTAAGTAAAAAAGAAAAATTTATTGATTAAAAAAAATGACAAAGCAAATAAATCATCAAGAAATTGAGAGAATCGAGTATTATTTAAGATCTATTATTTTCTTTAGTCACAAGCAAGTTATGAAGAAATTATTAGATTATTTACTGAGATAATTATTAATTCTACTTTTCCAACAAATGATAATACAAATGAATTAACAACATCAGGTCGACATCCAATAAAATATAAGTATGTTAATTTCAAAGAGAAAAATAAAGAAGTTATTTTTTTGTTTTTCTAATTCTTCTTAGACAAACATCAAATGCTGTAATTAATGCATTAGCTAATGTTGCTGCTAATATTCAAGGAACAATAGAATTAATGAATCTTTTAACTAGTATTTTAGAATTATTTGTTCAACTTGGTTTACGTGCAAAAGATGCAAGTGAAAAATCAACTAAAAATGCTTTAAAAGTAAAATTATTCTTATATTCTATTTTTCAATTTCAATTTTTTCTATCAAAAAAGGTTTCAAATACAGCTGGTAGTCTTGGTGTATTGATACCAGTTATTGCTGTTGTTATGCAACGAATTACTGTGATAAATGATCCGTCCGAACGTGTTTTTCGTTTATTTCAACGTTTTTGGTTTTATTGTGTTTTATATGGTTTTGCTGATTCAGAAGGAGGTTTATGGCCAATAGAATGGCATGATTGTGTTCGATTAATTGCAACAAAATCACCAACATTAGTTGCTCAAAGTGTATCCTATGTACCATTGAAATCTGCAATGCCATTGAAACCAGAACAAATTACGAAAGTAAACATTATAGCAGAAGAAAAAAAATTGAAATTAAAATATAATTTTGTTTTATATAGGAAGATAATAATGCTTTAAAATCTAAATTAAATACTATATTTTCTACGTACCTCAATGCTAAAGCATTTATTGATCGATTTGGTTTTGAACAAAGTGCTTATACACTTTCCGTGTATTATCTTGAAACATATCGGTAATGTTGTTTTATGAATTAAATTTTGAATAAAAAAATGAGATTTTTTTTTCATTCCATTGATTGAATTAAGAGATACATACGGTCAAGAAATTCTTCTAAAGTTATCAAAGAAAAAAAAGAAACTTAACGTACAGTTATATCTTGTTACTCTATTTCTAATCTAGGGAGCAGTGGGTCCACAAAAACGTCTAATCGGGCCCAACAAAAAATAAAAGGTTGGATCTGGATCCGATCAAAACTCACAAAATTCGAGCACGTTTCTTGTAGTTCATGACAGATACCTTAGCAATACTTCCTCTCTCTCCGCGTCACACATTGCGACAGATGTTGATATACGATCAACATCTGTATATCAAAAAGATCTGGTTATATCTTAATAGTTTATTTTATTTAGAGTTCGTCATTCACTTATACCATCGGCATTTCAATGTATATTTTCTTATCTCGAAGATCCAGGCTTAATCAGAGATAAATATGGTGATTATGACAGAAAAAAAAAAATCTATTTTGTTTTTTTTTTTTCAATAAATATTTTTTTTGCTCTAGGTTTATGGACATTAATGGTAGCAGTAGGAAGAAAATGTTTTGATATATATGTTGATGAAATGAAAAAATTAGTAAGTTTTCAAAGATTAAAATTAATTTTTTGTAAAAAAAATATGTCTATTTCAAAGCCAAAATGTCCTGAACGAGATAAAAATCTTGAAGTTCAATGTCAATTTCTTATGGTTAAACGAACATATGTTCGAACAGAAGTACGAGAAGAAGCTGAATATTATCTTCATTCATTATTATCACAAAATGCGTAAATATAAAATATTTAATGAAATTAAATTAGAAATATTTTTCTTCTTTTACTTTATATATTTGAAGTTTTCCAAATTTATTTTGTAATCCAGTTATAATTGAAACTTTAATGAATATTATTAATATTCTATCATATTCATTAAATGAAGATAATTTACATAAAGTTATTGCACATTATCGTGTACCAAATACAAATTATACTGTTCAATTTGTTGATACTCATGGAAGACGATTGGTTTGTTTATGAATTAAAAATAAAAAAAATTCTTTTTCTATAATTAAATAGGAACTTTTCAATGCATTTGTCGATTTTGGTCGTATGTTCACTGAACAAGCTTTAATGATATCACAGACATTAGTTAAATCATGTATTCAAGTAAGAATTAATAAATAAAACTATATTAACCTTTTGAAGTTCGTATTACATATGTTGTACATTCCACCTTTCAATACAGAAGAAAATGTTTATTCTAATACTAAACTGTCATGACCTGTCAGGTCATAGATCGTCGTACCAACCATCTTGCACATACCCTAGTGAAAGTATTGAGTTTAGGATATCCGACAGAGTACTCTGTTACCAATATGTTCCTGTTTAAAATCGTTCCAGTTTACGGATATTCAAACTGATTCATAGATAATGTGCTAAGTATCTAGAAGTGCTAAACAAGTATCCTATATTTGAAAAATTCCTAGAATATACTTATAATAAGAATAACTTGTGTCTATTTCAATGATAAGATTTAATGAACTTTAGTTATAATGAATAATAGTAACAAATCTTGATTCATGTTAACTGATACTTGTGAATGTAAATCAGAAAGAATTAAATTCCGATACAACAATGACGATGTATCGTATTAACAGTGAATTCATGATAAAGCTATGGTGATCGTGGATTGAGTTCGAGCGGAGATGTTTGTGAAAACTCTTGAGTTTGATTTTGTCGTTTGGAAAAGGCTTAATTCTCACAATTTAATCATGTTTTATAGAATTCAGCTATTTTCTTGCAATAAACTTCTGCCAATCGAAAAAGTTACAATGAATCTAAGATTACCGTTGTTGAATACATGCATATCTAGACCAGTGTGGTGTTGTTCTACCTAAGACCGTTGCATCTCTAGATGAATCTTAGTCAATCTCAAGTAAATTTAATGAAGTTTAATTAATTCTAACCGGTCTTTTTAAACTAGAACTAATTAATAAGGCTTCTCCCCAAAAAAGTCACTTTTCGTCAGAATGATCGAAATTAAGATAAATCCAGGAAAAGATAACCTGTGATCTGATCGCTCATAAGCGACGAAAATTTTTACTCAGCATCTCGTTTTTTCCAAAAGTTTTTGGAAGAATTCTCGAAGGAGCTTCATTGTGGCCAATAGGTTTTTTTTGTTGGAAAGAGTATATAAAACTGTAGTGCCTATGAGAGTTTTTTCACCCCTGTTTGGCCGATATCTCCTTCAAATGTTATGTTATAGGGCTGAAAATTTTATGCCATTCGAACGTTCCTGATCTGAGATCGATTTTTGAGGGAGGATGACCTTAACTTACTGATAATACTAGTCCAGATGCAATTATTCGTATATATCTTTTCATGAATATTAAGTTATGATATTTTATAATTAATTGCATTTAGCAATATATGTTTAAACTTGAACAAGGAAGAGGAAATTCAAATGCTGTTCGTCAACACAAAGGTTTACATGTAAGTCTTATTTAAACTTTTCAAATGATTATTTATTATATTTCTACATAGGTTATGTGGGAATATTTGAGTACACATTCAAAAACAATTGGTGCTAATGCAAGTTTACTTTTCTTTTTTTGTTTAATATTGATTTTAAAATTTCTTTTGTAAAAAAATATAATAAATAGGCAGTATCTAGTGGAAATAAATTGTACTATCGAACAGATTTTGCTGATTATATGATCTCATTAAGTGAACGAAATGCAGCCGTTGGATTTGTACGTAATATTAAGAAATATTTTCATTTATTTTGATTTTTAATAATTAATAAATTTTAATCATAGGTTGAAGGACTTGATCGTAATGATTATCGAACAGCATTGAAACAAGTAAAAGATGAAATGGAAAATGCCATTCGTAATCGTATGAGTTCACTTGATAAATTTAAATCATTACAACAACGACGTCGTCGAATGTCAATTGTTGCACCTATTAATGATAAAGGTGTTGCATTGGATTTTGAAGAACGAATTGCTATTTGTAAGTTAATTTATTTTATTTTCAATATATTATTTATATACATTTAGTCGATAGTGATTTTCGTAATGGACTTTTTAAATTAACAGCAATGTTAATTCATAATCTAGACTATTTGGGTAAGACTAGAATTTAGATATTAGTACAAAAAAAAAATCAATAATTGACTTTAGATGATAATGAAAATGAAATGAGTTTTATACCAATGGGTAATAGACCTTATGGAACTGATATACCAAAAGGTATTTAATCAAACTAATCAATTATTTATCATGTATAATGTTTTAGCAAATGGTCTCGATCGAGATATGGTCCATGCATTAACATGGTTACCAGTAAAAATGTTTACAACACCTGTTATGGAAGCTGCTGTAGATTGTTGGGCTTGGGCAATAGTTGGTCGACCTGAACTTGAATTATTAGTAAGTATATCGATTTTTTTGTTTTCTAATAAAATGTATTTAATTCAAACTTTTAGATTGTTGAAGAGATATATAAAGTTTGGGAGAAAGTTATTAGTGATCGTCAAGGTTTATATTCAATTGATAAACCAGAACCATCTCCACTTGCACCATCAGAAAAAGAAGAACTAAAACCCAAACCACCATCTGTTAATCCACATCGAATATTTTTTAAAGTAATCATTTTTTTTTTCAAATAAGTAATTTTTGTAACATTGTTATTATTGTTTTTTTTTTTTTTTGTTTATTTAGTTTATTGAAGAACGTGTTTATTTATGTATGCATAAAGCAGATATTGAAATGGAAATGCTTGTTGATTTATTTCATAAATCTCTTTCATTAATATTAGAAAATCCTAGAGCACCAATGACAAAACATATTGGTGCTGTTGGTCTTAGATTTCGAATATTATATCTTGCACTTTATCTTGTACAAAGTGATTATTTATCTAATGGTATAAGTAAATATTTACTTCGAGAAAAAGTTTATCATACAGCATTTGATTATTTTACGTAAGTAACAAAGGGAAAAACAAAAATTTTTTCATTTTTATTTTTAAAATTTGAAATATTATATAGTGTTCGTCATCATTGTCCAACTCAATCACAACATGAATTAAAAAATGATATTCTTAAATTAATTCGATTTTTTTCATTAGTTCATGGTGAAAAAAAATTTTGTAATGATTCAACAGTAACACGTTAGTTTTATTTATCATTAATATCTTGTAAGTTCTTTTTTTGGTTTTGTTTTGTTTTGTTTAGTTGATGTAGATACTGCATTAGCAAATGGAAACCATATTAATGATGCAAGTGATACTTCATCGAAAATTGAAGCACCAACAGGATGGATTAATTCATTAGCTGGTGGTGGTGGAATTGTTGCAGGAGTTGGTGGACAATCTACAATTAGTCGAAAATCTGGTAAAAACTTAATTTCAATGTTCAATATAGATATGAGAGATAGGATTGTACAGACTTCACTCTTGCCGATATTTTTGAAGAATAGTTCATTAGAAAATTTTGAAATTTTCACGGCAAACAAATCTCAATGAGTAGAACAAAAAGTTGTTATAAATTCAAAAATTCTCGGATGCTTTCCTATAGAATATATTGGTGTTGCAAAGACAAAAGATAACTTCGCATTTTCGCTCCTATTTCTTAGCTCGAATACATCTAATGCGATTAAAAATTTTGTTACAGATACTAAGCACTGTTTTGAGTTGTTGACATCTTATCCCCTTCCGTTCGAATACAAAAGCACCAAAATCTTGAGAGCACTCTCAAAAATACATGTTTTTAGCTGAAGCTTTTTTTTTGTAAACTCTAGCAAAAATCAATGGTGTATAATATTTAGAAATAAAATAAAACGAAGACATTCAAAACACTTTCTAGTATAAGTAGAAGAAAGTTTCATGCTCACTCAAATGTACTATGATTGGGGAACGGAGATAATACTTTAATTTTTGTTTTTTGTGAAAAAAATCAAGGGGAAAACGATGTATTCTAGTACACAGAGTCCAGTGGAGTACAGAATCCAACGAGAATAAACCAAGGAGAAACGGCGTAGTCCAATACTTTTCTAATGGCTGAACTGGTTGTGCTCCATGGCCTCTGTGAACTCCGGAAGTACAGTGGAAGTCCAGCAAGTACAAGAGTACCTCGTTTTCCTATGTACTCTTGGGATCCACGGAGTCCAGTCGGCATCTCTATTAATATAATTGATTTGCTGAATTCCTCGTATGTTCATTAACTATCTCGATGTTTTATCGAGTGCAAATCATAAGTCAAAGGAGATAAATAAAGATAATTACGAACAGATTTCGAAAGCATTAAAAGCCAAGAGAGAAACGGCGTACTCCTGGACTCTGTGGATGCCGAGCGTACAAGAAGTTCAGACGGTAGGGAAGTATTGGACTACGCTGTTTCCTCTGGGTTTATTCTCTTTGGATTCTGTACTCCACTAGACTCTGTGTACTCTGAGAGTACCAGAGTACGTCGTTTTCTCCTTGGTAAAAGCTCTTTATGCAAATATTTGCATCGAATAATTTCGAATGCATTACGATAACATTATTATAAGAGAGACTTGTCATTTGTTCATAGTCATTATGAAAGAATCCTAATAACTGATTAAAAGCTTTTGAACTCATATTTTGTTAGTAATTAGAGCACGGCGAGACTATGGAAGCTTTGAAAGGAATTGCCTACATTCACCTTCCTGGTAGAGTTATCATTGATTTTCAGCTTGAAATTTTGACCATAAAAATTCTTTGCTCTTAGTAAAAATTTCATTAAAATATCCATAACTCTTTATGGACCGGAATCTTTTTAAACTTGTCTTATTCTCATCGAGACTTCTTCGTAACCATAATATAAAGCCAAACTGTATTCAACAAATGGGTATATCCTCTAGTTAATAGGTTTGACACAGAAATCACTCGAAAAATATTTATATAAAGAAATGATCCGTGTTTTAAATAACTTTTATTGATATATTGTTTTTCTTTATTCACTAAGCTATCTATCGTGAATCATCTTCACGAGGTAGGTAACTATGCTCAAATACTAAATTAGCTTTAATGTTGAATTTGAATTAAAAAATTAATATTGAAACTTTTTTCATTTGAAATAAAAATCTTGTAAAATTGTGTTTATGTTTTTCCTAGCTGGATCAGCAAAAAATACTGATAAAACTCATGGTACACGAATATTATCTCGAGATTTACTTAAAAAACGTAATCTTCTTCTTGTATTACTTGTAAGTTTAAATTGAATGTTAATGAAATTTTTATTCAAATGAAAATTTTTTTTTTGTAAGGCTTATGAAATTGAACATTTGGAAGTTTTTCATAATCCTTTGGGACTTGCTGATCTTCAAATTGATCAAAATACACAATCAACATATAGAAATTGGAAATTATATGATATGAAAGGATTTGCAAATAAAGCATGGCGAGAATATGGACGTCTAGCTTGGTCTATTTCACCTGATTTAGCTATTAGTCTTTATTATGCGTAATTTAAAATTTAAATAATTAATTGAAAATAACAATGTTTGAATTTTGTTGTTGTTTTTTTTTTAAATTTTAGTATTCCAAAAGATTCATTACGTAATGAAATTCAACAACTTGTTAAATCTAATCCATTACAAGTTCGACATATTCCAGAAGCTTTAAATATTTTTACAGTCACATCAGATAATGATCGTCAATGTGAAGTAAATAGAATATTAAATAATAATAATACAAAAAAAAAAAACAATTTCAATAAATATGAATTTTTCTAGACATCTCTTATTCTTACTTGGGCACCAATTGATCCTGTTGCTGCACTTTCTTATTTTGCTAGTGCAAGACTTAATCAAGTAGCTAATTCATATACTATTCAATATGCTTCTCGTATACTTTGTATAACCAAAGCAGAAGCACTTATTTTATATATTCCTCAATTGGTACAAGCTGTTCGTTATGATGATGTAAATATTAAAATTTTTTTTTTATTATTTATTTATAATAATCTTTCTCTTTTTTTTGTTTTTGCTAGATGGGTTTTGTACGTCGTTTAATTTTAACATTATCAGGAAAATCAAAGTTATTAGCACATCAACTTATTTGGAATATACGAACAAATATATATAAAAATGAAACTACAATTGATTATGAAATGCAAAAGAAAATCGAACCAATAGCTCAAGAAATTGAAAATAATTTTACATCTGATGCAAGGAAATTTTACGAACGTGTTTTTACATATTCTGATAAACTAACTAAAGTATCGGATACAATTAAATCATATCCAAAAGGAAATGATCGTAAACAAGGTATGAATCTAAGAAAACAAAAATTTTAAAAATATTCAATGAATATAATATATTAGTTCTTAGTCTATAGAGTTGAATAATAAGACTTAGAATTTGAATACAACAGATGATTGAAAAGTAATTTAACAAAACTAAAATTATTCAAAGTAGAAGTGATAATTATTTCAAATACAGCAAATATTTGATATATTAATGATTAGTTAGTTCTAAATGTTTTGTTATGGAAGACCGTATCAATTTTAGACAATCTTGTTGATTTCTATGGAAATAAAGACTTACAAAGTGAACTCGATCATGCCTAGGCATTAGAGTCTTGCACTAGGTCCGAGCTACTCGGGCCTAGTCAGGCTTGGACTCGGTAAAGCTCGTTGAAGTTCGATAAGGTTCGGCTAGATTCGTTTAGGCTCCGGCTGAGCCCAAGTTCGATCGAGCCTGAGCCTGAGCGTGCTAAAGTCGAGTCGATCCGAGCCTGAGCTGCTTGGTCTAGGCACATGTCTAGCCATTTCTTAAACTCTTGATTCATTACATCACTTTGTAGAGAGCTATTTTGTCGTTAACTTTATGCAATAACACAAAATTCTAACTTTAAATGAATATTTTTTAAGTTTTGCAAGTTCTGTAAAAAGGCTAAAAAAATGAATGAATATTTTGTCTAATTACTTTTCGATCACACATTATTATACTTGCAAAATAGTCATAATCAAAATCTTTATATCTGAAAGCAACATATGAACAAGCTTCACATCAAAAGATAGGCAACATTGTATGAACATCTCGATATCAGTGTTCTATCAAGATTTGCTCTTCCAGAGGAGCAATTCAAAACTCTGGGAGAGCGAACACCTATTTTTAAGAATATAAACACATAGTATGCGGTACAGTAACTACAAACATAATCTTCGACGAAGTGCTATCCTCTGGACTTCCATACTGAATTTATAACAAAAAAATATTAGAAAATGCAATTTCTATAGAATTTCTTCATATCTGTTTAATTTTTCAATTCCAATTTTTATTAGCATGTCTAAAAGCTTTACGTGAAATTGGTAAAGAAGCACCACATGGTGTTTATCTTCCATCAAATCCAGAAGCAATTATAATTTCATTAGAACCAGAAAGTGGAGCACCAATGCAAAGGTAGATTTACAAAAAAAAAAATTAAAATAATCTTCAAAATAAATTTTCTTAAAAAATATTAGTGCGGCTAAAGCACCATATCGAGCAACATTTCGTGTTCAAACTGTTGGTATTGAACAAGTTGAACGTTGTGCTGATCCTGATTATGAATTTATGCATGATTTTAGTAATGAATATTCACAAATGGCTATTTTTAAAGTTGGTGATGATGTTCGACAAGTAAAATTTCAAATGATGTTTTGTTTTTTTTTCTATTCAAATTTTAAGAATATCTTTAGGATATTTTGGCTTTACAATTAATGCGTTTATTTCATAATATATTTGAACAAGAAGGATTAGAATTATATTTATATACATATCGAGTTATTGCAACAAGTCCTGGTGTAAGTATATGTTATTTATTATTATTATTATTATTTCATAATATTAGAAAAAAAAAACTCTTCTAGTGTGGTGTTATTGAATGTGTTCCAGATGCTCGTTCACGTGAAGATATTGGTAGAAATACAGAAGCTGGTCTATATGATTATTTTCGACATGTTTATGGTAAAGATGATTCAATTAAATTTCAAAAAGTAGGAAAAAAAAAAGAAATAATTCTTTCTATGAGATAAAATTTTATTTATTAATAATTTATTTTAGGCACGTCGAAATTTTGTAATAAGTATGGCTGCTTATTCAGTAGCACTTTTTATGTTACAAATAAAAGATCGTCATAATGGAAATATTATGTTTGTATTTTATGATTGATTATAAAAAAAAAAAAATATTTTTTTATTGATTATTTTTTAGGCTTGATGAAGACGGACATATTATTCATATTGGTTCGTAATTCGATAGTTTTATTTGAATATATTGATTAATTTTCTTTTCTTTTTTTTTCTTTCTAGATTTTGGTTTTATGTTTGAATCATCACCTGGTGGAAATATGAGATTTGAACCAGATATTAAATTAACTGCTGAAATGATTCTTATTATGGGTGATTTAACAGCTCCAGCATTTTTATGGTTTAAAGAATTATGTATTAAAGGTTATTTAGCATTGAGGTAAAATGATATTATATTTCATATCTCATCTCATCCACACACCTTTTTTTTTTAATTTACACAACAATAAAACATCTATAATTTATTTTATTTTACTATTTTTATACTCTAGACCTTATCGTCATCATTTTATAACACTTGTTGCATTAATGTTGGATACTGAATTACCATGTTTTCGTGGTCATACATTAGAACAATTAAATGCTCGTCTTAAACCTGATTCAACTGAAACTGAAGCAGCTCATTATATGCATGAAGTAATTAATCGTTGTGCACACAGTTTAAGAACACGTATTTATGATTACATTCAATTTCAACAAAATAAAATACCTTATTGACATTTTTTTTTTATATATATATATTTATATTTTGTCGAATTATTTTTGTTTTCATCATTTATTCAGAAGTTTGGTTTTTTTGGTTTTCTTTTGGGATATTTGTATGATGGCTCAATTTGTTCTTTTTTTTTGCACTTGTTTGCGTGAATCCCTGTGCTTTTCTTTTCTTTTTTTTTTAAACAACAAATTTTTCTATTTTTTATTCAGAAGAAAAAAACAAATATTATGTCTTCCTTGATCGTTTATTGTGCTCAATAGTTGCTTTTTTTGTGTTATTTGAATTTATTTTCTGTATTTCGTGAAAAAAAATATATATGTTTCATTAATATAATATATGATTGGGATTATACGTTGAAGGAGAAAAAGAAGGAATTGGTAAAATGCTACGAGTTAAAATAGAATAATTTTCGATTTCAATTAACTACATGTAAAGATTTTTTAATGTCTATGAATGCGGTTGATATATAATTGTACTGTTAAATTTCATGATATTTTCTCATTCTTTTACAATCATTCGTACAGCTTAGAACTCTTTTATTGATAAGTGATTAAAGTCTCTAGTTCAATTTATTTTTATATAATAAATTATCTTATTAAAAATTGAATTTGCATATACAATCACTATTTGAGCATTATTTTATCTAACTCGATATAATCATATCCGTTTCCTTTATTTATGCAATGAATTCACTTAGACCTTCACCGTAGATCTATACATTAAAACCTACAGTCTTAAAGCTCTAATCTTAGTGCTCTACCTTATACTCATAACTCGATGACTACATCATTTTACATATACCTCTAAGACTATATCCTTCCCTATAACTATACTCTTATCATTATATCCTTATTACCATGCTCTTATACCCACACCTTAAGAACAGTCTCCTGAAGAGTTATGCCATGAAGTATTCTTCTTTTTGTGCATAACGCGATAAATATATTTCTATTGTTATAATAAAGATAAATTATCTTAGACCTAGCAATTATTTTATCATTCTTGCATAATTTCTGCTTGAGTCGCACAATAAGAATCATTGAAAATCCTACAAAAATGTTGAGAGTATGATCTTAATTAACCTTTTGGTAAGAACTCATAAAAAATATTAAATTTGGATCTGTCAGAGAACTGTTGAAACCGTTCTCTGATTATCAATACAACTATTTAAATAGATCAGCTCCTCAGATTGAGAATTTTTACATCTCTCTTGAACATAAACAGTTGAATCGTTTGTACAAAAATTTCCTTTTTAAAATTTAAAAAAAAAATCGTCATTTTTAATTATTTAAAGAAAAGACAGCAATAAAGTCACTTCGGTAAGGCCATTATTTAGAAAATAAATTTCAACTTTTAAACAAACAGAAAATTTGAAGTGTCTATTTGTCAGGTAATGTAACATAGAATGGTGTTGCAATAAAAAATATAAACAACAATTCATCTATTACTCAATCGTTACTACTGTCCGTTTCAAAATATAGTGAGCGTCACTGTTTTTTAAATAACTCAAGAACGGAATGAGCTAGAGACCTGCGGTTTTCACCAATCGATAGATGAGAGAAGGGAATGTCTTTGTCTCAGATAATGTGTCAGGCGAAATCCTTTTAAAACTACTCATCTTTGAAAGACATGGAAAAGAATGCGTGAAAATGACCTACCATCCAGATGAAATTTTTAGTTTGACCCTTGATTTAGATAGAGGGACTTGAGATCTACAGTTCAAGATACAATACAAATACTTTTCTTATTGCATTCTAACGTTGACCAAATGGAACTATGTATTCACATGCGCAAATAATATGGAATTTTACTGATTTTTTACTATGTTTTTACATTTTTATCATAATAGCTGGACATTTCGATGAAAACGTAAGGAAAAGTAAGAAAGTGCATTGTATCTTAAACTATAGATATCAAGTTCCTCTATCTAAATCAAAGGTCAAAATCAAGATTTCATCTGAATGGCAGATCATTTTCATGCATTCTTTTCCATGTCTTTCAAAGATGAGTAGTTTTAAAAGGATTTCGCCTGACACATTATCTGAGACAAAGACATCCCCCTCTCTCATCTATCGATTAGTGAAAACCGCAGATCTCTAGCTCATTCCGTTCTTGAGTTATTTAAAAAACAGTGGTGCGCACTATATTTTGAAACGGACAGTACATTTAAAAATTATTTATACTCAGTTTTCACCATTCAACATTCATTTATCAAAATGCTATCGATTATTCAAAAAAGATAATAAACTCTTGATCCAGTGAAAGCTATATTTATTTTTAATAGTCTTCTTTCGATTTATATAGATGTACGTTAAAAGCATCGAATTAAACGAAAAAAGATTCATAAATACAGAACAGAACTATACTATAAAATGTTCAGAATACAGTTTTCAATTTCACAAACGAGATAATAAGAAATTGTACAAAGAAATAAGTTTTACACTAAAAATATGAAGAAAAGATTAAAGACTATATAAGCATGGGTAGACAACACAAAGGTAATATTGGTTGTTATAATATGTAACATTCTAGAATATAGGTAGAATAAATAAAAATATTTAAACAATCAAAATACTATTCATACTAATCGTTTTATGGAAACATTCTTCTCTCATAAGAGACATTGACCTAAACATGTAACTTTTAATATACAACTAAGAGTTCAAAGTATTTCTCTATTCTCTTATCAATATTCATTGTCAATATTTCTTTTACATATAAAACAAAAAAAAGAAGCGAAATAATAAATTCATTCCTAAACATGTATTTTTTTTTTTGAAAGAAAATCAGTATACACACATAAAAAGCCACAACATAAGGTTTCATTCATATTTAGCACGTTGAATATGTCCATACACACTCGGTAACAGTAAAGACAAAGAAAAAAACAAAAAAGAATTCACAAATAAGATATGTATATTTTTCCATTTAAGGAAGAACTATATTGTTCAACTATTCATTGATAATACATAGCTCAATAGATAATTGTTATGTTATTTCTTTGTTCTTATTTTTTTTTTCTTCTAGAAAACAAATAATAGAAGCAAATAAATAATTGATATACACACACATAAAAAGAAGACGATAAATTTAAATTTATCTATTTTTTATTTTTAGTAGTAACTGTTTTTGATATCCATTCAAGACCTTCCTAAAGAAAAATATGATTGAGAATTAAAAAAAAAAAGAATAGATAGTATTCTTACTTTAACACCTTCTTTTGTATAAGCTGAACAACCTTGAATTTGCCATGGTCGATCTCGAATTTGATGTAATGACAAACCATCAGTTATATCTGATGCTTTAGCAGCATTTAGTAAATCTTGTTTATTAGCAAAAACAAGTAATGGTACATCATGTAATTTTTCTTCTTCTAATAATTCGGATAATTCCTATAGAAAATAAAAAAAAAAAACAAAAATTCGAGAATAATTATATCGTATTGTTCTGCAGTTATACTTAAAAGGCTGAAGAGAACAAACGACTAATAATGAACATAGAAATCAATCCATTCATAATGAAAAAAGTATTGACTAATCAATATATTTTCTAGAGAATTTATTCATCATATATCAACAATCTCTATACAATGTTTGAATTTGTATGAACAAATTATGGCTCAAGTGATTAATATAATATCGGACATCAATTCGATACCATATGTTTTAAGATAAAAATCATCTTACTGTTTTGTTAATCATTACTAATATCAAAACATAAAGATAATAATTAAATGTTGATTTACATATAATCGAAAGAGATATGATCTTATAGTCTATCTCTTTCTGAAAAATTTTTCTAATTAATAATACCTCAAGTATTCTATTCAACCGATAAGAGATTATCGATTTAAATATTTCGAAAATGAAAATCTAATAATTCGCAGTGAGATAGATGAAAAAACATTATCATTATTTTTAAAAAATGGTCAGCTCGAAGAACTCTTGAAGTTTCAAATAGAAAAAAGGCTATTGAATCTTATTGAAAAATAGATTTCAATATTCATATGAAACTTTATTAAATACATACTTGATTTGTTTCATCAAAACGTTTTCGATCAGAACTATCAATAACATAAATCTAAATCAAAACAAATAACATATAGAAGAAAATCAATATTTTACATACCAAAACATCCGTATTTTCAAAATAATTACGCCAATATGGACGTATTTTTCGTTGACCACCTGTCAAACAAAAATTATCAAATGAGTAAAAAAAAAAGAAAACATATGACATCTTTACCGATATCCCAAACATTAAGTTTAAATCCAGTTGATTGCACACTTTTGATATTAAAACCTTGTGTTGGTGTTATTTGTGAAATATCTTCTGAAGCAAGAACTTTGAGCAATGTTGTCTAAAATTTTTCTTTGTAAGAAGTTCATTTATAAATGAAGTTAAAACATTCATACTTTGCCGGCATTATCCAAACCCAAAAGTAATATACGAAGTTCATTTTGTCGTGTGGGACGAAGATTTCGTATAATATCAAGTAATCCCTAAGAAGAACTTATTTTTGTCATTTCATTTATTTTTATAAATTTTTTTACCATAATGAGCGTGTAAACCCACGAGAGATTAGATTTGTATAGATAAATCTTTAAGAAAGGAAGAAAAATAAAGTAAACTAGTATATCATTATACGAAAAAAAAATCGAAACATTGTTCAAATCGAGAAAGAACTGTATAAATTATCCATGAATAGAAAACAAAAAAGAAACAATGATGACACTATGGCGTCATGCAATATCCATAGTAGATATCGTATCAATGCAGCCTCTAGCGTTGTCAAGCTTTCTAAATGCATAAAATAATTCAAATTCAATTGAGTTAAATAACAATTATCAATTTTTAAATTATTTTATCGAATCTATTCACGTAAGAATTATGTGAATAATCAGTAACTGACTCCCTCTATCGATATTCGTATAAATGTATTGACTGATATCAACGATTTCTTTAAGCATCCAATTTATTGAGATCTCTTCGGTTTGAGTAG